TTTTTCCAGGTATGGTCCAATGAATCGTGTCAGGAATTTGCAAAATATTTATAACCTAATATGCACCAACTGCTAGATTACTATTCATGCAAAGATCCTCACTTAGTGAAAAAAATTGAGTGGACTATGGATAATAGAGATCCAGAAGAAAGGGTAAGGAGCAAATAAGTAGACACTTCCTACCTTAAGAGCGCTCTGCTTCCCACTAGTCAGTCAGAAAGATTGGTCCTCTCAGTAATTTAACCCACTTCCTGGAAGTTTGTAATGTGCTGAACTTCTTTTGGCTGCCCTGCTTTCCTCTCCTGTAGTTTTCAGGTAGATGCTGTGTTTACAAGGATGTCATAGGTCTGGCTGATGGCCCGCTAGGAGGAGGGATGAAGGAATTTTCCCTATCAGAGCCATTTTGTTATGGTTTATTTGGTTCTTTTTAATGCTCTCTAGAGACATCTCCCTCTCTTCATCCCTGTTTACTCAGCTCACTGGTCATATGCTGCTTATAGAGTGTCAACAAACATGCTGAGGTCAGATAATACATACCTATCATTTTTTCTTTTCTGTTCTCAATAGTCCTTTTAATATGTCTTGCTGGTAATAGCTTGTTTTCTTAAGAGTTGTTCGATTTCAGCTTTAAACATGTATGTCCAGTTTTTTATACATCTTGACATTCTTTAATCCTCCTATTTTTCTTGGCAGGGGTTCATTTTATAGAGAGCTAGTATCATATAAGTACTCTTCACTCATATATGTAGCTGCTGACTATCTTATATGCTAAGTAATGTGTAAATATATATTTTTATGATCTCTAATTTAAAGGGCAGAATACATAGTCACTGCTTTTCAATCTGATAAGTAAATTATCAAATAAACTAACATCAATTTCAATGTGATCTTAAAATTATAGGAATTTATGCCTGAATAAATCTGCATTAGAGAAGACAACACTAATTCAGAATGTAGGTGAATTCAGTGCAACTTTTCTTCAGCTGAAATCCATGTCTTGCCATATATGCAGAAAGACTAGTATCCACAAAGCATCTGAAATTATCATACATACAACTGGATACATTCTGGATACTTGTATCACTTATTTTATTCCACAAAGATATTTGATGTAGCATATTCAAGCTTTTGAAATGTACTTTCAGATCGGACTCAATTAATTAATTAATTATGAGTAGGATTTGCTGAGCCAAATGCATTCCTGGTATGATGTCTATGGTGTTATTTAGTCCATTCTGCTTACTGGGCATGTCTTCACATTATCTGCTATAGATTCAAAAGACTTTGTAGATACTGTGCAAAAATGATGAAGAAATAATCTCAAACATTATTCCTAAAGGAATACCTAATGTCAACCTGTTCCTAAAGTGGATAAGACTACTATTTCTTTCTTTATAGAGATACATCTCTCTCTCTCTCTCTCTCTCTCTCTCTCTCTCTCTCTATATATATATATATATATATATATACACACACACACACACACAATATTAGTAAACTATCCGGATATTGGATTATTTTTGGACTCGCATTGAATCTTGACCTTACACACATATACACTATATATGTCTCTCTCTCTCTCTCTCTCTCTCTCTCTCTCTCTGTGTATATATATATATACACAGAGAGAGAGAGAGAGAGAGAGAGAGAGAGAGAGAGAGACATATATAGTGTATGTGTGTGTAAGGTCAAGATTCAATCCACATTCATGGCTCTTCAGCTGATGTGTGGATTATAGGAGGGTACAGAACTATAACATAAAATGGATAATGAAAAATCCATTCAAAATGCCTGCTAAACATGATGGATGGATTTAGACCGTTGCCAAAAAATACCCATCTTCTTTTACATTCATTTTTATTGTCAAACTATCTTTCCAGATGATAGTCCCAAGGACCCAAATGCAATTCTCTTGTTTGACTGGCTTCCAGAGGCAAAACCAAAGATGTCTGTAATTCTCACAAAATGACAGCAAAGGGAAAGTGAGAGCAAAATGCATTTGCTGAAAACAAACAGAAAATTTTTCATAATCTTGTTTTTGGCAAAAATAATAAGCATTCTCCTTAGCTAGGTGCTATCTCCCTGCTATGTTGGAGCATGGAAGAGTAAGATACCACTTTATTCTTTTTCATTATTTATTTACTGTTATATCTCTTTCAGATTCTAAAATTTGGCCATTGCATGCTCTTGACAATACAAGATAATTATGTAAATATTGTATTTGTTGTGTGTGTGTATTCACTCATTATAAGATGGTCTTCAGAAGCCCACAGGAAATTAACTTTTCCTTTAATACTTTTCCCCACCTCTGAAAAGTCAGAGACTATTGATATATTTTCCATACCTAGCTGAAAGTATACTAATTCCACCTCTGTCTGACCAAGGGAGAAACTAAATTCCAGAGGCAGGAACCCCTTTAGTAAAACTTGTTTGCATCTTGGGTACAGGGACAGGACTTCCCACTCCCACTGAGCTTAGGAGACAGCTGTGAGATGTGCAGCCTCCTCATCATCTCTGTGAAACCCCAGGCTGGTTGGGCAGCACCAAGCCCCACACTCCATGCCTGATGGCATCCAGCTGCTATGAGCGGTTCAGGGGTTTCAGAAGTTCAGGGGCCAGGGTGGGCTCCAAAGGAGGAAAAAAAATTATCAGACCCCTCATTGCTCAAGCAGTGAGCTTATCCTGCCTCTAGCCTCTAATGGCAAGTTACAGCTGTCCAGGCAACTTTAAGGTGTGATTGCTCAATTATGCTGAACAAGTTTTTTTAGAACTTCTTTACAATAAGGGTTGCCAAAATCTGGAATGGGCTTCCAAAGGAGGTGGTGATCTCCCCTACCTTGGGTTTCTTTAAGAGGAGGCTAAACATGCACCTAGCTGGGGAGATATAACAGTAAATAAATAATGAAAAAGAATAAAGTGGTATCTTATTCTTTCATGCTCCAACATAGCAAGGAGACCCCTGCACTCTTTCCTGCCCAGGGCAGGGAGTCGGACTCAATGATCTGCTAAGGTCCCTTCTGACCCAAACATCTATGAATCTGTGAACACTAAGCTGATTAATATTAACAGTGTAAGGTATAGCAAGGCCCTAACTGAAAATGTGTGGGTAAACCCCAAGGCCTTATTCAGTTAATTCCAGAAGTCTGAGAAAAAAAGAAATATTTCTAAGCACCTCATGAAGACACTTGGATTGCTTGAATTATTTTTTACTATGAATCAATTAAACATTTTTTATCAATAGACATCCATATAAAGTTTTTATTTTTTCCTAGTTAATAGACAGAGAATACACCTTTAAATACAAGGCGGTCTAGAACAATGATCCTCAGCCAGCATGCTGCAGCATCCTCATGTGCCATGAGATCATTTTAAGCATGTCATGGAGTGCCACTCAATATTAGCACAGGTAGGTGTTCAAACACCTTTACATGATTCACAGATAAAGCCAGAGAATTACAAATGGGAATCCAATAGTGTAAAGAATATTCTGGCCTGTTGTGCTCTTTCTGAGTTCTTTGCAACAGAAAAAATTGCTCTATTATTTTTCTGTAGTCAAAAAATGAGGAAAAGCTAAGAGCTGGAATTTTCTGAGGGGTGCCTTCAATCTAAAGAGGGGTGCCTTGAGTCTAAAAAAACCTGGGAACACTAGAAAAACAGGAATAGAAAAAGTAGAGGTAATACAGATTTACAGTGCCCAGCAGTGGTGAAATTTCTGTTTTAGACCTTATAATTAGGTAAAGTAACAATCTTTAACTGTGATGATTATTATTTTCAAGAGTAATTTCTTACTGTGCTCCCTAAATATATTTGCTGGTGAGCAAGTGAATTAACATCTTCAGTTCTCCCATCTATAAATGGAAGAAATATTACTTTTAACCTTATTCAAGTGTTGTGATGCTTCACTCATTAATGTGTACTGCTATTACTTTCAGTACTGTTTTCCCTCCTAGGGGATCTCAAAGCGTAATATATAAATTCAGAGATTACTTCACCTGTTTTTGAAAAGCAGCCATATTTGGGGCAGAACAGAGGCTATTTATTTTTATTAGAACCTAACATATAATAGTAGTAATGTCAGAAACATAAACATCCAGATTTTTTATTTTATAAACAAATATGAAAATATTGCAGATCTGCATGTTGTACAATACCTTATTTAATAAACTGGTGTACATTTTTTAACATTTAATATGCTAAGAATTTATGGTACTTTGAGAAATGTATGTATCGTTTATCAATTCTGGCTGAGGCTATCAAGTTTTCCTTTGAAACAGTGGTACTGTGGAGCCTGCTCCCTAGGTATGAAATGCACCTATTTGTGACAGAGGGTGTAGTTCACTTCATTCAGATCAGGGCCAGTGAGTGGTCACTATCTTTAATGCTCTTACCAAGCAATGGTTTAGCTGAAGCTCAGGAGAACCAGTTTGATCCAAACACCTCTGAAGGGGGCTAGAATTTAGAAATGGAAAATTCCCAAATACAGAATAAAAACCAGGTGTTGACAGAAGAACTTAAAACTTATTCTTAGAGCCCTATGGAAAGTACTGGGACAGAATAAAGAAAGTGGCTGTGTAGTAGTAAAGGGCCTTTTTATGGCAGATAGCCAAAATTAAAGTAAGGTAGCCTGGAGCAGAAAAGAGTCTTTGTGAATCATGACACAAATATGAACTGCAAGAGAAATATCCTTGACATCCCAGAGACCCTTTTTAAAATCCTAGATCTCCCAAAAGTTGCAAGACAGGAAAACTGAGACAAGGAGATGAGTCTAGACGAGATATAATGGAATAATATATAAGTAAATGTCAGTCATCTGGGCCCTGATTTTTCAAGCTATATACATATATAACTGCTTAATATATTTTGGAAAATTAATCAAGTACATTCTGTATCTGCAATATAGAAATCACGTGTATTAAAATCACTGGTAACATCATAAGCCAAATGTCTGGTTGATTTTAAATGGAACAAGATGTTCATACAATAACTTCATAACCTCTTACCTGGCCAGGTTCTGCATTTTCACACACATAGGTCTCATAATATTCAGGGAATTCTGGAGCATGATCATTAACATCAAGAACATGAATATATACAGGGGCCTCAGAAATTTGTTCTGGGTTTCCTAAAGGGAAAAAGGAGATCAAGAAATAAGAGTTTCTTAATAATAAATTCCATGATTTCAAGAAGATGGGTTTTAAAATTCTCTTTTTTACCTGAAACAAAAATCCTAATTGAAATATAAAGGCTTTCTAAAGCCATAGGGAAGATGATTTCCCATTAATAGAATGACCATAATATATAGTCCAATGACTCCAAATAAAAGTTGAATGTCAGAAATTCACCCAAGTAAACAGACCAGCAGGTACCTGAAAGAATTGTCATAGAAGACAAACAAACAACCCTTCATTATAGCCTTTTTTCTCTACTTAGGTAAATTAGCCAAATGGACCATGCAGATAATTTCTAAAGCTTCTTTTTAATGTATAATTTACTGTTCACCTGCAACAAGCACTTGCTCACACAGATCTTGTAGAAGCTGAGCTAAAAACTTAGGAGTCTTCTGCCAGAGAGAATGGTATCAAAAGTAACTACCATGAAAACAGAAGGCTCTAAAGATCCATAGCTGGCAAAATCAACCTGCCTCCAATGAAATAGTAGAGCTGTGCTAATTTATGCCCACTGATTATCTCGCCTCCCTAGTAAGCATGTTAGCATAGATCCCTATTTGAACATCTTCATGTCTTTCCCAAAAGATTTTGTGGGGGGATAACATTTCTCATTTTAATCCCAGCATAAATAAGAACTGCTTGGGAAAGTGTGGGTACCACTGACTAAACTAATTATTAAGAAATGAAACCAAAAAACAATATACATGTATCGCCTTTAAAAAATAATTTTACACTGCAGCCCCTGCGCCTTATTTGCTGAGTGGACATGCAGTATAAGTAGATTTGTTTGGACAGGCACAGTCTTTTGTTGTGTCAGGGTTGGCTATGTAGTTTTGCTAGGAGATTAGAAAAAATACAAATAAAAATACTCATCAGCTGCAGAACTCACTGCTGCAGCAGCACATGAGGTTCTCCCCCGGCTGGGAGCCCTCTTGGGTGATGGGGTTCCTAGCCATAGGGAAGTACCTGGCCACATGTTCAGTTAATGGAGTGATAAGAATGAGTTACAAAATTATTGCATATTTTTGTGGAATAATTTTGTGTCTTATTCCCTGTTTTATCTTGCCGTTAATTGTTTGTACATCTGGCTAAGTCACGGGTTAATCACATGTCGGCTAGGGACAGAAATTACACATAAACTGGTAAAAGTGATCAGAAACTGGTTCAGATCTGTAACACAACAGAAATTCAGTGCACATAAACCACCTTCAAAATGGCTAAAAGTGGTTTCAGATAAACCTGGATGGATGTCGTATCAGACTTAACTGATTTAGGTTAAATTAATTTATTGAACTTCTGTTCTAGATTCCCCCCCCCCCC